TTATGTCATCGAGGAAGGATGTTGGAAGCTAAGCCTGAGGAGATCTTAGTCAGGCCGTCGGGGACAATAAGTATACCAGGATCCTGGCTCTGATAAAAAGGGTCAATACGGTCAGGCTTGGGGCTGGCGTATCTATCAGGAAGACGAGAATAGGAGGTGCTCTCGTTGAACTGAAAAACACTGCGCTTGAGCATCGTAACGTGTCTGCTGAGGTGCTCAATAATTCCTTGGCAGACGCTTTCAGTGTTAGGACTCTCACCCCACACCTGACCTGGGAGATTAGGGACATTGATCCTGCGGTGACACAGCAGGATATTAAAGCAGCGCTATGAGCTGCTTCAGTAAAGAAGAGATCTCTGATATAGTTGTGCGACTTTGCTCTGCCATTGTGAAGGGAAATCGTATGGCTCACGTCGAGATACCAATGATGGTGGCACTGATTCTTGATAACAGTAATCACATAAGGCTGGTTTGGGTAAACTGCAGGATGTGGCCCAAATCCATGACTGAGCGCTGCTTCAAGTATCTGAGCTTCGGCCCATTTGGGAGATAGTGGGGCAGGCCTGATGGGATCGGAGTGTGCTGAAAAATTGGGCAAAGGGCTACGTAACACGTAGCTACTCTAAAAAAAGAGATCCACGGTACTTTTTATTATTACTATATTTTTCGAAACTTTCATACAGCTTATAACTGATTCGACCAAAACTGAATGGATTTCAAACAAAATTCTTTTTAATTATAATTACGTGTCTATACGCCACGCTAGTATAGTGAGTGAATCTCAGGTAAACCCAAGACAGTAGGCTGCTAGTTTTATTATAACTATTTTTATGCTAACCTTGTAATATTCAGAGCTTTTCATTCTATGACGTTAACAAATACTAATTCAGATTTATTTTTTCAATTGCATGGCAGTTGTGCATTATGTTTTGTTTTCTTGTCTTTAAATACTATAGTTATTTTTAGTAAAGCTTTCATGACTTGACTTAAGTCTGTACAATAAGCGTATCTGAGTGACCGTCAAGTTCCACACAAACTTTTTATTACAGGGTGTTATAGAGTATCTAAGATAAAGGAATGATACTTACTAATTTAAATGATCGTGAACGATGTATCTAAGGACTTAAATAACTTATTTTCATGGTCTGAGTTCAATAGGTTATGTACGATGCTGTCGTAACTTACTGTCAAAAGGAATAAACAACTGATCCTATGAGCCGAAGAAGTAAACAACTGGCAAGGACTTTAAAAAAAGAAGCTCAGAAGCTGCATTTCATTACGATTAGTAAAAAACAACAAAACAGTTAACAACTTACTAAGCTTAGAATTTAAAAATAAGGTCAATTTTTGGAAAGACTTCTTAAAGCGTACCGTTAATTATCAGTATAAGTAGCATAATAATAGACAACAGTGATAGCAGAGAGCACCTTTGAGAAGTTGTAATACATAACCATGAAACAAGTATGTTACAGTTGTTTTTGATTACTTCTAAAAATATCGATAGTGAGTAGGTTTTAAATAAGACGACTTTTTAGTCGTATACACTATTATCAAACATATGTGTACGGTTTTTTAGAAGAAACACTAAAAACACACACAATGACCACGAACAATATTTATCAGAGAAAAATTTGCAGTATCAATAAAATCTGAAAAAAGATGACATATGCCACTTGAACTTAACTAATAACAGCAGAAGAATGAAATCTGTGGTTATATTTTCAGTAAGAGCTATAGGCAGCATTACCACCAGAAAAAAGACGACAGTATCGTGAAGCAGGGAACACTAATTGTACTCTGAAAAAGTATTCGAGTATAGTAAAATGATATATGATATGTTATCAACGTTCATAAACCTATGCAACACGAAAATAAACGAATGTGTTTGGTAAACGTATTTATAATTTAGGTATAAATGCACACATTATTCATCATTTTATTATTCCTAATCCATAATATACAAACACTTACGCACTAAGAAAGAAGATAAGTGGTAAGAGAACCATGTACGCCCATAACAAAGTGGCAGTTCTGACAATAGTATACATCCTCTCAAAACAATTACGATATAACTTACATTGTGCACTTTAGGACCACAATTAGTGCTACGGACGAACATAATGACATCGTTGAAGACTGAGCGCACAGAACGCTAGCAGGATGATAATGATGATGATGGCGACGATGATGACGAAAGCACATACAACACAACAGCTGTGCTAATGTCAATACTTGCAGACTCAATACAACTACAACGTGGACACTGCATTTATCTCCCTGTACAGACCCGCAGCTGAAACTACTAATAAAAACATTGAATAGAGTAAGCATAGCAGATCACTGCAGTTCATAGGACTACCGCTGCTGCTACGGATAAGAATGACGATAACATTGACTTAAGCCCACCCAACAGAGTAGTAGTAGACAGCCATAGTAGATAATACTAAGCTTAACAAATTTAATGTTACCACCCTTAAGATAAACTGATAACTTCAAACGCTTGCATATGCTACAATAGGAGGGACTCTAAACCTTATAAGGATTTTAAATTAGTGGAGATTTTCACTTGGTAAGTTAAAATTCCACTAAGTTAGAAACTCCACAGTTTACCTAGTTACGTTGTTTTTTATGCCACTTAATTAATATTTCAATTTTAACTTGACACAATTTTTAAAAAAAACTCATTTCAAGCTTCGCACAAATAAATATATCTTCGTTTAAAATTTGCTTTGATCCATAAATGACCTTATGATGTATATTTTAGCTGGTGGCTTTAAATATTTATAATGTTAAGTTTGCAGAAATGATAATGTATGAGTTATATTATTATTTGCACTTGTAAAAGCTCAAAATCATAAGATAGACTTATAGTCTATAATACAACAGTCTATTTTTATATTTCTGATACGTTTATTAACAGTATCCAAGTGACGAATTTCAAGTTGTGTTATTTACTTACTGATATTTCCCACATCACATTTCCTAAACCGACTCTCTGTTATATTTTGTCAAATTTGCTATGTTACGTATACCTATTTCTTTACAATTATTATTTCTATTATCGGCTAGTGTAAACGCATTTGTTATTTTACGCAATAGTTTTTATAGCTCTTGAAGTAAATTAGAGATTTTCGTGCCCGTTTATCCTATGCATTTAACAAATGTTTTTATCTTAATACTTCAAAAATCTTGCGGTTCAAGATTCATTATGGGTATTCTATAATATTTTATTCCTCTTATAAGATTTTTGTTAATGTTCTCACAAATCAAATGATTTTGTTGTCCATGCAGTCTGTATCCAAAACTTTATTATTTTTTTATCGTATTTTTTATTGGTTGACTGCTATAAATTTTATGAGGGGTGAAACTTGTACGAAAATAAACTGTCTAAATTAAAAAGGGTTAAAATTAAGACCTCATGATTGGCTTATCATGTTTATTTTTCGTACAAAACATGCAACTTATCTTTCTCATCACTAATTTTCTGACGTTCAAGTTTAGCTACGTAATTAAGGTATACTCGGATGTCCTCACTCTCCAGCTTGATCTTTTTAGTAGCAAGATACTCCACTCTCTGACACAGATCCTCAGCTACTGATAACTTTACAACGTTTTCTACCATTCCCCTACATAAATAGTTTTTTTTTAATAATGTACCATATTATACAGTGTAGGATGTTCTATTTTATTATGGGTGGTGACTAAGAGCTCGTTTTTTTAGTTTATAGAGGCTCTGAGTGCTATAACCGATACAAAATAATACCCCTTTATAAATTTGACAATTTTCAGCTAATTTTCTACCATTATTTTAAAGTGCATTAATATTATTTTAAAAGTAGGCAACACGTTGTTATCGTTTGTGCAAATTGTTAAAAATGTGCTTAAAATTCTCTTGATCGTCGTTAATCCCTTAGTTAAAGAGTTGACCTCCCATACATTCAAAATATTTACTGACAAACTTTAAGTTTTGTATGCGTAAGTTTATGTTTAACAACAATAAACTTAACAGTGTAAGTCAAAACAGAGGCACTTGATCTCTACAATCCTTGACTTCCATAGTCCAATAATTGGTTAAACTCATTTTTTTTTCATGGTAAGGTGTAAGAAAACGTTATGCATTGAATTTGAGTGACCACTTATAGTCGCTCAGTTTTTATTCAAGGGTGCTTCTAAGTTTAAGGGTATGTATCTAATTAGCTCAAATAGTTCCATCATTTGATGGGAGGTAATTAGGTAATTATTAAACGAACCCCTGGTACTTCTCGTTTGCTATCGTTCAGAACATTAATGGTTTCTGCGTGACTCTCAGACGGTTCAAGTGACAACCAAAGCAAGCTACTAAGCCTAAGCACAAGAAATCAGCAAGTACGAGCCTAATAGTATGTACGATGAAGAAGTTTTGACTTAAGCTTCACGCAAGGTGCTTTTCATTTCATGGCGTTTTATTTAGTAGCGTTTTCCCGCTTATCAAGTGTGGTTCTTCATTCTTAGTTCAATTTTTTAATCTAAATTGGTATAAATGTTTGATAAATTCATTGTAATTGATTGTTAAACTAAATAAAAAGAACAAGCATACCTGCTAGTGTAGAATACTTTATTAGTTAAAACCAAATGAAATTAGTAATATTAAAAGCAGCAGTCCTAAAAAATTGTATAGAATCTATCTTGCAGAAAAAAAGATACATTGACACATATGGGTAATTCTGCCGTAACTTACGCAGATAGTGTCCGGTACTCGTACTCGTATGCTATAATAAAATCCAAAATGTGTTAAATGTTGTCAAATTTACTTGATATAATATTATACCGATGTATTAATCCCTTCATTGAGATAATCGATCATTTAGAGTCGAACTTTCCATTCCAACCCACGTCCGCAAATCAATTTCACTCATAAGTACTTTTACCAGTAAAAACTAAGGCTTATCTGACCCTTGTGTATGTAATCATTACATACTTTAGCTCTTGTGAATAGGATTTGTACCTTAGCCTCACCAAAAATGAGCAAAGACGAGTAAGTTTTCACTGCATACATTTCATCCGCATATTTGCACCATAATAACGGTTTTAACAAAAATCAGTTCAAACTAGTAACTTTTCGGATTAGAAATGCTACCCAATGGTCACTTTTTAAACTATAGGACTAACATTAACAAATGTTTACGACAATAGTACCAGATGTGGTTACCTTTCAAATAGTCAAGTTCTTCTATTTGTGTATTTCGTGCGTACAAACATTTTATTCCATCCCCCCCCCCCCATGGAACAACCACTCGGTGTACGTGTGCAGGTACGCAAACTACAGTTTTTTCTTGCATTTAAGGATAGTGAATTAAGTGTAGATGAACAAGTCTTTGTAATACATCTATAAGTCATACGAGCTTTATAAACTCTGAAAATTTCATTGCGAAATTTTCCATTCCGACCCTACCTCACCTAAAAGTGCCGTTTTTGTTTTAGAGCAATCAATTCCAGACAAATTTTTTTTTCATCACTGTTGGGCTAAAAAACGAGACACGTGTCTCGGAGTTTCGTCCAATTGGCCCTTTTCGCTACATAAATGCAAAAACGGTGGTGCTCCTTCCAACGTTGGTAGCCAAGTGCTGCAATCTATGAGGTGGATTTATCTGGGCTTAAATAAAAGCAAAAACATAGTCATGATTATTAAAACACATATCTTTGGGTTTTCGTCCCCGAATAAATAGTTATAGTGATTTTATGAAAAATACTAAATTTTAGCCAAAATTACATTATTATCGATATTTACGCTCTAATTGAAACAGCTGTAACTTCGGTATGGAGGCACAAAATCGAACAAAACTTTTCTTAAACGATAGATCTTGAATGTAGCTTTTGTTTAAGTCCAGTAAGAACACTCAAACTGATGAAGGAGTTTAGCTACACGTGTGACAAAGCGATACAATTTTTCAGAAATCGATGAAAACTGACTTTTATAAAATTTCGTATAACTTTGTAATAGTTAATCTTGTAGTTGCATTGCTTAAGATATTTGTTACTGATATTGTGTACAGTAGAAATACCACGAAAAAATTCTTTTTTAACCAACTTCTTTTTGAATAATTCTTCAAGTCGATCTGAGCAAGTTACGACTGAATTACCCATATATTTTACAAAGCCTAACATATTTTTACCCCACTATACAAACAATTAGTTGGACAGTCTGCTAGTCCTGCAGCCCGTCAGAGAGCATGAGACCCAAGTTCATAAACATACAGTTTTTACCGGATGATAATGTTAAATAGTTACGATTAATTATTTAACAAAAATTAGTAGCATAGCGTGGTTTAGTCTCTAGTTTTTTGTTTGCTTACTATATGTTTTCTAAGTGCTACTTTTCAAGAAACAATAAACACTATTCAAAGAAGCATGTTTATAAATGCCATACTAACGAGACAAAACAAATACACTATTTCTATCCTAAACCTGCTAACCAGCGTGGTTCGTCCCTTCAGTCCTGCTATAAAAAAGCGGACATTCTATACCCAAGATCTGCTAACCAGAGCGGTCTTTCTATTGCTATCCTGGATCCACTAACCAAAGTGGCTTATCCCGATGAGTCCCACTGAAATAGTGGACACTCTTTATCTTAGATATATTACTTAAAGCGATCTACCAAAACAAAGAATACATATACAGAAACATATAGCAATTTATATTGTTAGTTGTAGAAGAAGAAATCTTAAAGACAAAGTAAAAATTTAATACAATCCAATAATTTTACTGACATACACACAATTGATCAATTTATTTCCATAAAACGATATTTAATGATCCCCCTGACACATGATTTTACAAGTAATAAAAAAAATAAGAAAAGTAGTGAGGAATTGTTTATGCAGCAGTTGAAATTGCAATGCGAATATTCTGAAGTTGGGTACGCCTGGGTACCTGGCTAAGATATCTTATGTTATTTACTGATGCTTCATTAATGAAGAAAAAGTCTGTAAGTACCCTTGGTTACCTGGTGATTGGTGCTAATGTTTTCATTTGTCTTCTTCTTGGTTTTGTGAGTAGTCAGTTAGCACCTCGGGTTGCTAAGTGATGATTGGCTCTTATATTATTTATAATTTTTTAATTAAACTAGTATAGTAGCCAATATGAGCTCTTAGTTACTTGGTATTAAAATTATTAATTCTTATTTGCATTATTAAGGGCTAGTAGGTGCCTCAATTTACCTGATAAGTTAAGAATGTGGTATTCGTAAATTCTTCAACGAGTAATAAAGTAGCCAGTGAAAACACCTCATATTACGAGGGTAAAGATGCTTAGACTTTTATTAATCAACTTAATATAAAACGATTAGGTTATTTGGTTACTGGATTCAAGTTCTTAATTTACAGAGTTAGAAGGTTGAATAGTGATAACTCAAGTTGGTATATTAGTTTTAATATTTTTGAATTGCTTGTCGATAGTATACTATTACACGCAATGAACTAAAATTTTAAAAATTGATCACGATGGTAGAGTCATGACACAACATACTTGTTTACTCATGTAATTTATTTTGAAGTAAGAGTCGTCTTCAATTATTATAACATAGATTAAAAACTTTCATTGTGCGTGTTAAAAAACAACCGTGATTAACTTAAATTGTCAATTTTAAGAATGTACAGGAAATTATGTAGGCTGTGAAAGTAACAGAGTAATTTTAGTCCAACGATTAAGTGTTTCTTTGTAATTTCATACCCAACGACACCGGTGACTATCGGTAACTTGAGTTTTATTTCTGTTACATCTGTTAGTCGGATAAAGTATGAATTTTTTCTCGATGTAAAGATGATGGATGCAGTTAAGTACACCATTTTTTAATTAATATTTGTTCTTGTTTTATTTATGTACAGTCCAGAAAGTCTTTATCTTATTTTTTCAAAAAGTGTACTGTGCAAGCATCCCGAACTGTTAAAGTATAGTTCCAGGTAGTTGTTGAATGCTTATCCTATAAAGGACACAAAGGATTAAAAAAAAAATTTATTCATTTTAGAAAAAGACTAACCAGAAAGAGCTGTTACATATCATTCATTTAGATATCAAAAGTAACGTCTTACAGATTGGTTGCAAGATGCAACCGCTGTGCACATCCCTAAATTACTTTTACGCGTAATCGAGCTTATACATTTAACATGTATGGGCAATCCAATGTAAAAATACCCACAATCACAACCAAAATTAGTAAATAAACAGCATAGCACGAATCACTGTAGAAAATAAAGAACGTCTACATCAAACTTTATATTACCCATCTAATTTCTTCGTAACTCCACGGAATCTCAACATAAAAATCTACAAACCTCGGTCATTAAGGAATGTCGCAAGGTGAGCCTTTTTTCATTGCTCCAGGAAAGTAAAAGTGCGAAACAGGCCACTAAAAGATAAAGCAGGACTTACAAATAAGTTTTTTATTTATTAAATACAAATAATATATAATAATATATAATAAAAATAATAACGATATGTGGTTTAATCGTAAGCAAGCATTGTCCTGTCGTCGTTAACAGTAAAACGCGTTGTGTATCGAGGCAGTGCTCACCACCTAATGATGGGCAATGAAAAAGAGAGCAGGTGGTTCAAGAGGTTGGCTTACTTCTTCACGTGTGCGTGCTAATACAGCTCTCGTAGGATACGATGTTGCTTTCGGCACTAAGCTTGACTGGAGCTTCTTCCAGCTGGTGTCACCACAGGCCTCCCCACTGTCAAGTCCTTTTCGTATGAAGATATTTGCGTCGCGTCCGCACATTCCAAGTGTCAAAATTCCAAAACAGGTGACATGCTTCATTGGGGAAAACATGCACCTCTTATGAAGGCACAACATACGTGTACCACAACCAGACACTACCTCACAACTGGGCTGAATGGCCTGAGTTGAGTCCCTTTTTAAATGTGTAAGAACTTACTTTTTCATATGTCTACACTTTGCGCACCCTATTTATGACAACGACGAAATACATGCTGCAAAAATATCTAATGTAAGAAATTAATTTTTGATGACACGTCATAAATAGTATATCTTACATAAAAAGACGCTTATCCTTGGTGTATGCCGTAATATTGTCTTGACTAGAGAAGAGAAAGGAATGTTTAAAATTATCTGTTGACTGGTTGTTGACAATTGCAGCTACCTCAAGATGATTAAGCTTGACAGCAATTGTCTGCAGGTCTACAGTCTGTTGTTGGATTGTGCTAGTAACGTTTATTACCAGTATCCTTGTAAGGCGCCGGTTGCTAGTTCTCTAGACAGTTCAGTCTTGTTTACTCGTGGGACTGTCTCCTTTGCGTAAAGTGGTACTAAGTGCTTACTCTCATCAAAATGGAATATACGTGGTTTCAGATAAGGTGTCTTTCATCTAATAGCGCCAATAGATTTGATGGCTCGTGAGCTAGACTCTGTAGCAGCAGCAAATTTCTTTGAGATGGCCCCGCATCAAGCGCCAAGTTATGAAAAGATATCTGTTGAGGAAAAGAATGTTGAGAGTTTTAGATGACTGACATTAGACTTCAGCCTTCTTTGAGAATGTGAAATCAGCTATTAAGACAAAATAAAGATGAAAGAACTGTGCCTTTAAGTAAAGACGTGGTATGGCAGACACCTTGACTGAAATTGAAGTCATCAGTGAAGCTGGTTAGAAACTGGGCTATAATACGTAGTGGCTGCTATATTGACTGCCGTATGTCTATAAAGCAAGTAAAGACCAAGCGATCGTGAATATGCGAGCAATCTGAGGGGTTGATTTTCAGCAGTCATACAGTAACTTTTGTACAGTAGAACCTACTTTATTACTTGCAGTTAGTGATCACTACCCTGCAGGTCGCAGAATATGTACAGATTATACCACCAGCCGTGAGGTTTAAAAGATGGACTAGGAGCAAGATTTAAAAACAAATTTATATAAACAATAGTAACAATTAATAAGTAATAATTTTTTTAATAAATACAGGGTAAAATTATAACCCAGCTAGTAACACAAGTATTCAAATATTAAATATCGTAATGTTTTTCATCTAAGACATTATTATTTTTCATTTGAATTTTCATTTAACTTCGTGTATTTACTATAAGGATGATTCCAGGCAATTTTCAATAATTTGACTTATTAGCTACGTCCATACTAACTTCATCGACACCTGAGATAAATAAATTTAGGTTTATGATGTATTGTAAGCTGATGTATAATTAATAAATTCTTCGATTTACATTTTTTTTAATTTTTGCATAAACAGTAAAAGCAGAAAGTTGCCCATAGTTAGAGAGAATTTAAAAATAAAAGTCTTATAAGAAAGAAAAATAATGTTGTGCTTCAATTTATTTTACCTAATTTAAAACAAAATAACTTTATTATGTAATTTTTTTTCTTAAATAAAGTGTAATAGCAGTAAAAAATAGATTTTTTAAAGCAATAAATTATGATTAAAGTCTCCATGACCTTTTTCTTCTTTTAGGAAGTCCATTGCCATCTCCATGCAAATCGCCAGCTAGAACACCTATACAATCTCAACAGCAGCCATACTGTAGGGCATTGTATGATTTTGAACCAGAAAACTCAGGTGAACTTGCATTCAAGGTGGGTGACGACTTTTATTCTCATAATCAACCAACAATAATAAAATTTTTAAGAATTTGAGCATTGTAGAACATTATTATTTCTAACGTCTTATCAGTAAATATAATAAACCTTTTGTGTGTTAATATTATCGATATTCCCAACTTATTATTTTAGTTGTGAACAATAACTTTACTATCCTAGACCTAAAATACTGAGTTACTTATTTCAATTATTTGTAATATTTCTCTGTTGAAAAAATTAATTTCTAAGCATACATTTATTGATAAAAGCTAACATGTTAAGAATTTTTTGAATTTGTGATAGCTTAAAAGTTATAAAAAAATACTAATTCTTATAGCAAGTAGTGTAATGAAAACTATACGATTTCAATGCAATAATGAAAATGTTTTAAGATTTTACGACATTTTTACAATTAAACTGTTATTTTTAATATACGTATCGAGTTAAAAGACTTTCTAAAGAGTAATTTCAAAATTTTTTTAGAACGAAGTTCTTTATGTCGCGTTACTCGGGGGGCTGGAATTTTAAAACCGACAGATTTTTTTTTGAAACGAAAGTGGTTTACCCGGAGTCTCTTCCTCTCAAGTTTCCCCCCTTACCCCGTCCCCCTCACCTACTGTTCTCTATACACTTCCCCTCTCCCCACTATATATGTATATCTGCCAACCGTGCCGTGTTACTCTCCTGCACACCTTTGTCCACCATTCCCCCTCACACTCCAAAGCAATTAATTTTTTAATAAATTTTAATTTTATTCTCCCACAATAATTTTTCTTT